ATAGATGAATACGGTCCTACTGATTTAATGATCACATGTCTAAAACAAATACATGACTGGATGTGCCGTAATTTCTTACAGCTCAAAACAAAGAAAATGAAGTAATTGTTTTTGGAACCAAAGGAGAGAGAATTAAAGTCTTTGCACACCTGGAATCACTATCACTCGAACCGAAAAGTCAAGCAAGAAACTTAGGTATAATTTTAGACTCTGACCTCAATTTTAACAGCCACATCAGGGCAATCAACAGATCAGCCTACTACCATCTAAAAAATATCTCGCTTATTAAAGACCTTATGTCCAAGCAAGACTTTGAAAAACTTGTCCATGCATTTGTTTTTAGCAAGCTTGACTACTGCAACAGCATCTTCACAGGCCTCACAAAAAAATCACTCCGTAAACTCCACTAATTCAAAATGCTGCTGCCAGAGTCTTAACCCGGACGAAGAAAACAGATCACATCACTCCAGTGCTGAGATCGCTGCATTGGCTTCCAGTTAGTGAGAGAATTTACTTTAAGATTTTAGTGCACACATATAAAGCACTAAACGGGCTAGGACCCAAATATATCAAGGACCTCCTTCAGTGGTACGAAGTGAACCCATCAGACCCCTTAGGTCTTCAGGCGCAGGCCAGCTCACTGTTCCATTTGTGAGTGAGTTAGAGGGCTATGAGGCATGGCTAGAATGGGTGATTTGTTTGGTATTTTGAGCAAAACACTTCATAGACATGTTTTTTATATATTTGTATATATCTGAAACCTATGCCTAACAATAGCATGATAGGAGACCTTTAATTTGGGAATCAGATTTTTTATATATGTATATATATTTTTGTATTAATAATTTAGTGGATATTTTTAGTTCTGTGAGACACCAACAAGTAGAATGATTACATTTCTGTGATTGTCTAGACACAATAAGCAGCATGTTCGATAGACTTTGAGGAGATTTTTTTTTTTTTTTCTGTTCAACTCAATGTTATTTACAGAGATATCTATACTTTCTCTCAAGGCAGTCATTCAGTGTTGTTTGTCTCTTAGTGTCGAGCCTCTCCACCGCTGACATCCCCAACAGTCTAGTGTTGCAGAAATGATTCAAGCTTGCATGGCATTGCAATCTAATACTTTGTTTACTTTGAGGGACGATTCCTTTTTAAAAGATGAAAGAGACAGGTGGCATTATTGTTCCAGATAATACAGGATGTCATTTTGTGATGTATAATGTGGCCTTGTCTGACTTGAGAAAGCCAAACGAGTTATAAAACAAAGGCTCACATCATTTATTCATCAAAATAACTCTGTGGTTGCTTTGTGGTCACGGCTACTTAGCTTCTCATGCCCTCTTAAATGTATGTTCCAGTGGTAGAAATCAACTTCTCACTACACATTTATTGTTTACAATGGTTTCTCAATCGCCATGACCATATCTTTCAATTAGTTACTTCCATTGTGTGTACACTGCTTTGTTTATTGTTGCTGTTGGATTTGCTGTTGATGCTGTATGTTACTCACCTTAATTTTATTGTATAAATTGTTGTTTAAGTACATTTTTATTTTGTTCCAGCAATTTATACAGTACTTTATACATCATTTTTGACTGCTATTTTTCCTTTTTTCCTCTAATCTTATCAATACGGTTTACAGAAAACTAAAATAAAAAAAGGTATAAAAACATAACAGATTAATAAGTAATAGTAAAACTGGTTAAAAAAGACAAATATAAGAAGGATTAAGTTGCATTTTTTTCATAATAACGATGATTTGATTACGTCCAGCCCCAATAACTGCAGGGTTGTCCTGAGCATGTGGAGTGTTGCCTATGTGAGTGCACGTGTGAACATGAAAACAGCAGGACTGATTGAGGCTCATGTTAATTGTATTTCTCTGTGTCGTGAAGCTCTTGCAGAGTTTTAAGATCATGGATTACAGTCTGTTGATGGGCATCCACAACATGGACCAGGCCAGTCGGGACCGGGAGCGTAGCGGGGGCAACTCTGGTGACAGTGGGGGGTCGGAGGGAGCAGTGACCCCAGATCAGCGCCGGCCACAAATTCAGAAAAGTCTTTACTGTACGGCCATGGAGTCCATTCAGGGGGAGGCCCGAGGGAAGGGTGCTTTGGATTCAGAGGACCAGTGAGTCTTATTGCTCAATGTGAACATATGTTTGATTATCATTTAATCTGTGACTGGGACATGACAATGATATGTTGTTGTTACTCTGTCTCTCCAGCATGGGCGGTATTCCATCTCGTAATAGTAAAGGAGAGAGGTTGCTGATCTACATCGGCATCATCGACATTCTGCAGTCCTACAGGTTTGTTCAGCAGCAGTTTGCCTTGAAGCCATACATTTGAGTACCGTAATTTTCGGACTATAAGGCGCACCTGAATATAAGCCGCAGCAGCGGCATACCACTCTCGGTTCCACTTTTACTTTTGCGCGCTACCTGTCTCACTCTTTTCCGGCCTCCAGCTTTTCCTGCTGGAACCCGCCGCTTAAAGGTGGGGGTCCGCGGACCGGCCATAGAGCCCATAGAGTTAAAGGTGTTGGCCGTTAGCTGTAAAAATCCATAGATTAGCCACACCGTTATATAAACCGCAGCGTCGAAAAATAGGGGAAAAGGCGCGGCTTATAGTCCGAAAATTACGGTAATCTCATCCTGATCATAGAATACAGTCCGTTTCCCTCTTTGTGTTTTGTTTGGGTAGCCGGGCCAACCAACCAGGCAGTTTAGTGCTTATTAGCCCTGTGTGTGGCCTGGGAGACAATCCCTATGCTCCGAGTCCTGCACTGAAAGCTTTGAATTCATGAGAAAGCTTCATTCCTACATAACTCATTTATTTAACTTCCAGTAAATTGTTTAATTATGTCTTATTATTTAGGTTTATTAAGAAGTTGGAGCATTCCTGGAAGGCCTTGGTCCATGATGGGGTAAGAGCTTACACACTGAATGTTCTGGAGAGCTAAACAAAGCCTCATCTGGAGCGGACACAGTTTTTATAATAGAAAATTGAGAAAACAAGACCCTTTATAGATGTTATCTTGGGCTCAAAGAAAGATTGGTTTCACTAGTTTAAATTGATTACTAAATGGCAGATGTATAGATAGTTGTTAATAAATGGATAATTCTGAACAGAAAGTATTAAATGGCTCTGTTTTTGTTTTTGATACTTTAGGACACAGTTTCAGTTCACAGACCTGGCTTCTATGCAGATCGTTTCCAGCAATTCATGTGCAACACGGTGTTCAAGAAAATTCCACGTAAGCATAAATATGCATGTATTCAGAAATCCCATGGGTGACTTGTCTTGGTTCCCTTAGTGACCATATGCTCTTTTATATCCTCCATCTTTACCAGTAAAACTTTCACCTTCTAAGAAGAGTCGTGGTGGGGGTCAGGGCGGCCTCCGGAGGGCCCCCACCCTGGGCGCTCCCCCCCCGCTCTCCAACGCTACGGGACAGTCAGCAGTCGACTCCAGACTGGTCTACCACAGCCACTTCAAGAGCACCGACTCAGAGGCCGACAGCGGTGAGACTGACACCTCACGAGCAGTGTGGACATTATTCTACAACCACTCTTACAAACAGCTCTCTTCTTAAACACACTTACAGTTTGAATAATGTTTCCTTTTTAAGGATTTGATCTTATATTTACTTTGGATTGGGTATTTTAAAAAAAAATCAATGCTGACTCAAGAGCATGCTAGGACACGATTGAGTGCTGACGTTATTGTCCAATTCTACAGTTTTATGTAAAAAGATTTGAATTACATTATATATTTTTATTATTAAAACAATTGATTCAATTATAACCTAATTAAACAGTAAACTACACACTAGCATCCTTAACTCAATCCTTTCAAATGTATTTGAACTACTGTGTGTGCTCATGGCCCTTCAGTCTCTGCAGACATTTAAATATTCAATTGCAGAATTACTGTTGTAACTTTCTATTCCTTTTGGCTTCTTTATAAAGACAGAGTTAAGATCAATTATGTGGTTTAAGTACACATCATGAATCTGATATAGACCTTTCTTAAGACCTTTTACAAGAACACATTTTAGTTTGAACTTGAAGATGTTGGTGAATGAGGCAGATATATAATTGTCATGTCTGTGCTCTGATTGGAGAAACTGTTGTTGAGATTTGGTTTCTTAATGATACTTTGTTTACAGGCGTGCAGTTCGGCAGACCAGATCTTGTTCCGAGGACGCCTCCGCTTGGAGAAAACCCTGCGGACTACGAGGCCAACCTGTCCACCTCTTCACTCGGCAGCACAGGACTTGCTTCCACCTCTCCACCACTACGGTAAAGCCTATCAAAGGTCATTTATTACCTTTATTCTCACACCTCACCTTCACACTCGGTTAATGTATTTCGTGTTTACCTTTATCCGTAGGTCTGTAGGGGTCGAAGTGCACAAATCAGCCAACACAGACCTGGACCATCACAGGTACAGAAGGCAATGATAAATGTTTTTTGTTTATTTGTTTATTTATTGTCTTAGTTGTTTCGTAATTAAATCTTATCTCTGTTCCAGTTTTGGGGACGAAGGGGCTATGGATAATTCAGGCAACCTGTCTGGGAATTAAGATGTGATTTCACTCTCAGACATCGTCCCGGAGACCAACATCTGCTTTGTAAGTCTAAAAAATGGCATTATACTTGGTAATAAAATATTATTTATAATTGTATCGTTGACGTGGTTATAGTTGTACATTTCTTGATATTGACATTCATTTCATCTTCCCAGTAGATAACAGACATCTGAGGATGACGTGTTTCTGAGCGAGGTTATGTGGGTGGAAGATTAAAGAGAGTGAAAGTCATCCATCCTCCACGGACCCTCCATTGCACCTCAGTTCTTATCAACCGTACCGAGTATACAGGGATCGCTGGATGAAGCAGTGAGGTGCAGTGGAGGTTGTGACAATGAAATAGCAATGGTGGAAAGTTCAAGAAGAAGCCGGTGAGCGGTAGGTTTTACCCTTCCCAGTCTTCAGCCTCCCAAAGCCCAATTGACTTTGATTTACACCTGGAAGAAAAAGGTGTATGACCCTGAAATTGTCAGAATGACATTGTTTGAACAAAGATTTTCTGTCATGCTCACAACATGAAGGAAGCTTCAATGACATCAAAAACTAAACGATTAGTTGTACATTGCTAAAAGTCCATGCCCCAGTCACCAGTGGATGGTGAAGGCAGTTACATTTCCCATGAAGAGACAGTCGTGGTTCTTTGAGATGGCACCAACAGCCTTTCAGCAGGAACATGCACATCAAGGGCAAAGCCTGCATTTGTAAGAGTGAATGTTTCCTGCAGAGTCTGGATTCACATTTCCATGGTTCACACCTAAGTGTTCCATTACCGCACATCCATACCCCCTTTTATAAATCATCATGACCAGGTGCACTCTGAGCAATTAACACTCCTTTTTTTTAATCAACATGTGCTGCTGTTGACTCTGTAAACATGAATGCATTTCTTTTAATCGATTGTCGATGTACATTATTTGTTTGAATTTGGATTTTGGATCAATGGGTTTGAACCTAAAGGGGTCATTTTGTTTCACGTTTTGTTCTAAGTTATTCTGCTGGAGGCCACGGTGGTGATGCAGAGGTCCAGCTAGATCTTGCCACTGCTGAATGTACATTACAATGTTTTTCTTACATAGAATGTGTCTTATTAACATGGCAGACCACATTTGTACAACCCTGAAATCTCCCTCTCTGAAGTGACCATATGTGCTCATGAAGAGAGAATAGCTGCTGCAGAGAGAATACTGTAGCATTGCTGTTACATGTAGTCATGGTATTGAGCTAGTAGAAGAGTCATAATTCCCAGCTACTGTCCTCCATCTGTCTGTGCCTTTACATGTATCCCCCTCCTGGACATGTGATATATAACTGACATTTCTTACAGGTTAGTGTTGGAAAAACCTGCCTTATCACTACAACTAAGGTCGTCAAACTGCCATTTGTATGTCTGGACCAACAAACAGGGCATCAAATAATTTCAGATTGTATTGCAACCACTAGTACAATCCCTCTTTTATTATGTGATAAGTCTAATCACATTAGAGTGGTTAATCTAATCCTTTTAAGTTAGAATGTCTTCTATTTTTCATTCCTGCTGGTTACAGAAATGACCCATGCCCACATCCACTCTTGGACCAATATTAATAACCATGTGTTTAACTAATATTAGTTGTTTTAATATGTAGTCTTACTCAGATTTGATGTGGCTGTTGATCTAAAAACATATGCTTTGTTTTCACTTAATATATTGTGTTTATGTTGTTGAGCTTTGTACCACCAAGAGATATTTCTGATACAGAAATGTGAATAGCTACATAGTTACTGTAGCACCACTCAAGATCTTAGACATCTCACTGAAGGAGTTACTGTGTGTGTTTGGTAGGCACATTTGGTCTATGAAGCAGAGAGGGAGAGGGAGAAGGGGAAATGTGATTTGTGAATATAGAAGAAAAGAAAACTACTTTCTGTTCATCAATGCACAGTTGAAGATTTAGGACTGAGTCTTTTGTTGTTTAAGCCAGTCGCGGCACCAAAGAAAGGAGAAGGGGGAGTTCCTGCAAATGTTCAGGATCCAGTACCGTTATCATGAAAATGAAATCAGACGCTCCTCATTACCTGCATGGACTGATATTTTGTACATGGTAATAACACTGGGTTAACCTGTGTTTTAAGGATCTGTTATTACTGGAACTGGATATTTGTTTTTTTTTGCTAAATAACTTAATGTCTGATAAGATGTATCTGACATACATGTATTGTTTATCAAAGATTTAGATTACTTTGTGGCCTGAGATATTTCAAGATGCAACCTCCACATTCCTGTTAAATTAAGTACAATTGTGGTAGCTCTTAGACACCATTATTTAACACCTTTACATAGTAAGGATAATGTTATTGAAATCAATCATGTTTCATATGCTAAAAATGTAAGATATTGATTATTTCCAAAAGATCAGTTTAAAATTGTATTCAGTTGGAGTCAAACGGCCAACAAAGAAAACACTCCGAAAATGTTTCTCACAGGAAATCCAGATTATGTTTTGTCACACCTGGGTTTTGACTTGACTGGCACTGTGTAATTGCTGGATGCATGTTCTACACCATGGCACAAGACGAACATGATCCTCCTTCCTAAAGGGCGGTGTACTCATTGTAGACACTACAGGTTATTTGAATTAATGCAATATGAACCACAATTTCTGCCACCTTTCAGCTCTAAGAAATATATTTATTGACATGGTTGATTGCTGCAGGCTGAAATGATAAAAGTTGTGTATTGTAACTTTTAGATTGTACGTATACTGACAGAAGGCTGTCTGAAACTTTATAGCGTGTATTGCCTTTGAAGGGGGGCTATTTGACAATTTTATACTTCATGTTTAGATTGTGCTATGATGGATGTATTAGCTCCATGATTCTGGGTTGTTGATCGCCCGTGCTTTTTCTACATGAATGTTTCACACGGCGTGCGAGCCAACGTTGCTGGTTGTTGCTTCAATTACTATATTTTTACTGTGTATACAAATGTGTATATGTACATAGGAGTCACAGAAATGCCTTCTCATGCAATATGTGCTGCCTGTCCCTCCTGCCATGTTTCAGTTATGTGGTGGTGATGTTTTCATGTCTGATTTTAAAGGATTAAAATGTCTAAATCTTGGTTTTGGTCCCTTTCTTCATTATCTACATCTTCATAGTTGCTTTTGAAAATAGTGTATGCAAAATAAGGGAAAAGAGCACTGCCATCATGTAATTCTCTGAAGATACTTTAATCTTCTTGAGAGAATCAAACATTTGTTTTACTTGTGATTTATTCAGTTATACACCATGTTACATAACTTCAGATGCCAGTTCCATCAAAACCTGCCCTTTGACTTGAAAGTCCAGGGCTTTCCAGCTGAACACATTGCCTGGGCTGAAGTGCTTATCTTCCATATAGTGTCTGATCTCACAGGTGGGGATGACAGTGTCCCACATGTGGAAGTCACTAATCATACCTATGAATGATTGCTTTGCATCGAAGCGTCCGCCATAGGTGTCCTGCTCTTGGCCCAGGATGGCGATGGGAGCTCCAGTGATGGCCCCAGTTCGGACAAATTTCTTGGTGCTCGCCTTGCCGTCCACCCACAGCTGAGCCAACCCAGTGGAGGAGTCCCAGGTAGCGCACATAGAGTGCCAGGTATTGGCATCAAGTTTCAGTGACGTGAAGCCTGCGTTCTCACCCCGAGCATGCAGATTGATGTCACTCTCTGCATTGCTCTTGAAGATGAGAAAGTCATTGTTGAAACTGGGTGTAGCCAAAGAGAAGATTCCATATGTCCTGCTGAGATCTGATTGATATCTGAAAAGATGTGTAGGCATTGAGAAAATCTGACAAACCGTTCTTCAAACTTAACCACAAATAATGAAGCTTTCTAATTACAACACCAGTTACCTGAGACAGGTGGTCACAGAGTTGAATCTGTTTTTAGGTGTCATGAGTACTACACGATCAGTGTTGGTCTCCTTGGGAAAGACAAACACTTTACCTGAAAGATCTGCACAGGTGGAAAACAACATTATTTTTAGGGAAGGAGAGCAAACAAAATATCGTTAACTAAAATGTTTAGAAACAAAAGTATTAAAGCGATCGTATTCAAATGCTTCTCCATAAACAAACTTCTCTGCAATGTTGTCGGTCGAAGTTTACAAACCTTGGGGTGCTGCACAACATGTTCCAAAGATCACCATCAAAAGCATGAGTTTCTCCATCTAAGATTTCAACAAGTCAATGTTTTAGTATCAATGAAAATAATTAATCACCATTATCTGCGAGATCTAAGCAAGAACATTGAGACATATTTACCAACTAAAACAGGTTATTTTAAAATCTGACATCAAATCTCAGGATTAAATAGTTAATGACACATAAATAGTAAATGACCCAACTTGATTAATTAAATTAATTGAAAGCTATAAGTAGTATTTTTTACCTTCTCGCTTGGCTGTGTACTCTTCTTGTCCGTGACTACCCCGTTTCAGGATGTCTCTCCTGCTTTTATTCTTCAGACATGATGTTGAGCAATGTTTACTATGAAGGACTGTGGACTATTTCCTAACCACAAAGTAAATCAAACTGAAGGGACATACCAGGACACTTGCATATATTTTTTTCATTACAGGGCACCTTATGCTCACATGTGCAACCCTTTATAAGTATTTGTATTTAAACTTGTATATTTTCCACATGTGTATATATTTTTTATATTTGATAAACTAAACCTTAACTTTTTTTATTGTTTCTATTTCTGAAATATTTTGGACTGTTTATTTCTTGTGTCTTAATTTCTCATATTGCCTTGTGTTTTTTATGCTGCTGCAACGCAAACATTTCCCAAATTGGGATCAATAAAGTATCTATCTTTCTATCTCTCTATCGATCTATCTATCTTTCTATCTTTCTATCCATCTATCTATCTATCTATCTT